GATTTATTCATAACTGGAGAGAGAAAACTAGGAGACTCTTAGTGAACTCTGTGATGTCTGTTGGGGATTCATTTTGAACTGTTCAGACCAGACACAGTGCCATGTTGGACTGTTTCAGCCATTTCCCGTTTCCTGCAAATCTACCCACAGCTTCTTTGCAACACTCTATGCAACAACTTCAGCTCTTCATTGCTGCTGGTGAACAAAGAGCTCTTTTGTTAAATGTTCTGCTCTTATGTCACACTTTTCTACCTTTCTACTCAAAATGCTTTACATGTGTTTTTTATTAAGCCATTCACACACATTCACACACCACAGAGCTGCCATGTAAGGCCATCGCCTGCCATTGGGAGCAACTTTGGGTTCAGTGTTCAAAAACACTTTGACATGCTGAGGATGATTGAACCATCAGCCTTGGCACAGGAAGGTGGACAACCGGCTCTATCACCTGAGTCACTGCTGCACTTCTTCACCTTACAGATCTCATCCTGGCTGTTGCTTATAGAAGTTCATGCTCATACTTGCTGTTTGCAATCTTTTCCTTAAATACCAAACTGCAGCACAAATGCAGATGATTTTTTTTGCTTGGCATCTTCTGTAATCAGAAAAATGATCCAACAAAACACTAAAACTGTTTGTTGCACTTTTCATGGTGTGGTAGTAGCATCAACACAAATATATATATAACTCCATCTTCACAAACCTTCAGAAAACCCACTTTTCCATCCACTCAAGTTTTCTGAAAATCTACAAAATTGGAGTTATCTGTTTTTGAAAATGAACTCTTCATTCATATATATTTCTTTAAACATGAAATACTTGAGGTACACAAAGCCATAATAGCCAAAAGTGTGACGTAGTAGATATGTCTAAATTCGGGTAAAAATAGGAACCACAGTTTTTTATTTCACACAGAATTCTGGTCAGTCCAACTATTTATTCCATTCCTTTTTGTGTTTGTGCAGACAGTCCGAAAAATATTTTAAGTCACACTGAAATGGAAGTTCAAGTGTTATTGAGCTTCATATGTGAATGAAACGTGGTATGAGATGGTAAACTAACTTTTTTGTTGTGTGTCTATACTGTGGAAACATCATAAACTATGTAAATGATGGGCTTCATAGTGAGCACAAAATAAAACAACTACAATCATGTAATAAACTTTATCCTTACTGTGGTGAGGAAGGCCAGGGCCTCGTCTCGGTAGCCCAACCTCAGGTACACGTAGGTGGGAAGGTCATATTCCTTTGAGGTCAGTGAGGCGATGCGGAGTGACTCTCGAATCCTGTGCTGGGCGAAGTGCAGGTTGCTGATGCTGTCAGTGTGACTTTTCCTGATGGCCACAGAGGGAAAAAGAGCTGTGCTGCTGTTCCAAAGCCACAGCAGCTCGTCGTTCCTCAGCCTCTCCAGCAGGGGGCAAAAGCCTGTGTAGTTCTGCTCATGCAGGTTGTAGTTGTGGCAGTCAGGGTAGAGGTAGAAACCCCAGAGGGCGTTGGGGCGGAGGCGTGTCCCCAACTGGATAGTCCTCTGCATGAATGCCTTGGCACTTTTCTCAAACCGCCGCCGTGCCAGCTCCTCCACCTGCGCTGCTGTCACATTGATGTACGCCTTCATGGTCAGCTCTCTCGACTTACGACGGTAAATGTCCTTCTTGTGCCAGTTACGGCTCCACTGAGGTCGCCAGAACTCCCAGTCGATGACGGCCAGGCCCCGGAAGTCCTCTGCAGGGATGAAGTGGTTGATGTCCTGGTAGGCTTTGAGCAGGTGCAGGTCAAGGCTGCAGTTCTGTGGCAGGCCTCCATGCATGGCACTGCCCTGTGGAGTGTAGTAGGGGTAGTATCCCAACCGATTGGCATAGAAGATGGTGACGTTCTGGCCCGTCCAATCAGCACGTGGACTCCCGTGGATGTTAAAGAGGCGGTCAAGGTTGGCAGTGACATTGTACTTGATAGTGCACATGTCCAGTGGGGCATTCCAGGCAGCGATGAAGGGCTTCCGGCCAATCAGAGGCAGCTTGGCAGGTTTCTGACCGAAGGCAGCATGGAAGAGCAGGAGCAGCCAGGAGCAGGTGAGGGCGACAGGTACAACGTGATGGGAGGAGGATGCCCCGCCCACTGGCACCACAGGCATTCTGGGGTTCAGGAAGAGCAGCTGTCAATCATCCTGAACAGAAAGGGAAAGTGAAAGACATTTTTAACTCAAAATCACAGGTATTTTATTGCTGCTGGTCTGTGATGTATTACACTTTAGATAGCATTTACTAAAACATTGCATGAAAAATTAGGATGAGGATTAGAACTGGGTTTTGGATCATTTAGATGAGCCGCAAAACACAAAATGATGTAGTGTATGTCAAATGCACCCATTTGGTTCAGATGCACAACACAACATTTCCTGTCGATATGATCCGCATATGTTGAGTAAATTTGAAAATTTGTTAAAAATCCAGATACTGTCCTAAAGTAAATCAATATGCTTGTATCAGACTGGACTTGAGGACAACTCTATCCGATGGTGGCATCATTGGAAATATATTAAGCAAAAGTTGGTTGTTATTGGCTGTCTCAGAAGGTCTCAACAGGATAAGACTGGGTGATTAATAACATACAGAAGTCCAGTTTTCCATTATACATTATTAGCATAATTACCATACTATGAATGATGGCAAAACTTTGAAACTATGCGTTGTTGAAATTTCTGTACTTTTGAGGTTTTCAGAAGTACGAGGTGTGTCGGCAAAGTTTCAGGACTGGTGTCACAAAAGATATATTTCAAATCCAAACTACAAACTACAAGTTTTCCTCTTTGATGTAATCCGCTGTCATGCACTCCTGGAAGGATTCTTCCAGGTATGGAATTCTATTTGTGCCACAATCCTGAGCAACATAAAATCTAATCTGCGCTCAAAACTATTACTACTGTGTTTGCAAATATCAACTTACGCACATGATCATGCTGTCTTTCACTTGGTTTTGTCATTTACCCGCTCCACAGATCTCGCTGTGTCTTTCTTGCTTACGTATGACACTGATGATCTGTTCAACTCTGCCTGCATGCTCGTTCGACTTGACACAGCGTTACGAATGTACCACAAAACCAGCCAATCACAGCCTTGCACATTGTGGCTGACTCTGTCCAATCAGGTGGCTATTGTTGTTGCTGATTTTGAATGATTTTGAATTTGAATGCTGAATGCTGATTTTGATTTTGAATTTTGAATGCTGTTGTTGTTGCTGATTTTATATTGGTGTTGTGTTGTTTTTTTCTGGTGTAGCAATTTCCCTGAGGTCTTGTACCGAAGAGATCAATAAAGTTTTATTCTATTCTTATTCTAATTCTATTTCAGCCGCCTCTTGGGAATGCTGCAAAAAGTGACAACAAAATAAACTGGAGTCGTGCGATTAATGCCGTGTTATAATATGTTTTCGGTGAGTTTTAAAAAAATGTTTTATTATTGTATGATATACAACAAAAACTATTTCTTCATCCTTGTTTAAGTAGCTCAGGTTAGCCAAACTGAACAATGTCATTAGAACCTGAACAGCAACATGAAAATGGTGCAGCACGGTACAGTAGTTGGTATTGCTGAAATATATTTAAATGACAAAACAAAAAAAAAAACAACCATTTTTTTTTAAATCAGTTTTTCAGAATTACAACTTTTATAACTCTAAAAATGATGGTATTTTGTTGTGTATTGAAAGTTCCCATTTAGGTATCAGTATGGCAGTTTTGGGCCCTAAAACAAAAAAAGCAGTATATGGGAAATTTTCCATGGAAGTCATCCATATACCAAGAAACACCACCTTGGATCTCAACCCCAAGGGTGAGAAACTTTGGCGTATGATCTCATGCGGCATTTCACAGCACTAACAGAATGACAGAATGGACAGCAAAGACAATGAACCTCAAGCTTTTAATGGCAGTGTGAAATGTTTCAGTCTGTCTGCAGAACTTTTCTGAACTTCATTTGCCCTTCTGACTGTTTTTATATTGTTCAGGGAGTTTATGGAAGTCACGGTTTGATGAGCTCAACAGTTGCTCTGACTTGACCTCAAACGTTTCATGCACAACTTTCGAAATGTAAATAAATGCCTGTTATTTCTGTCTTTGAGCACAACAGTGGATCATGAAAGCTTCAGCAAGTCATTTTACACGTGATTTTATGAGCCTACAGATCTGTAAATCTGTGAAAACATCTTGGATGTATTCAGTGATGACATTCTGCTCAACCACTTATTGTGAAAAGCTAAACCATCATTTATTCTGCAGCTGTTTCAATTTTATTTAAAAACCCCAATGGTTTCTACGATCCAAAGAAAAATTTTGGGTAAATGTTTAATGCAGAAACAGACAATTACCATTCAATCAATGTGATATTTGACTGTGAATTTGGACTGTTAAAGGTTCCTCATACAGTTTTGACCTCTAGTCACATTCATGACATTTTCATAATCACAACTTAATTCAAGAATACAGTAGATGAGGTCTTTAAGTCATTTTTTTGGAAAGCATGTCAAACCTTTTTTGGTTCTCAACTGTGAGAGCTGATTGTTTTTCTTTGCATCGTGGCTAAAACCTGATATCTTTGTGGTTTCAGCTTTATGTCAGTTGACCTGACAACTGACAAACCAGTAAATTCTCAAATCTGAGAACTTGAAACCATCACATTTTGTCAGTTTTTCTTTAAAAATCTTGAAAATAATTGACAGCTCATTTTCTATTGACTGACGAATAAGTTAATCAGCCGGTACCTATCCGATTTTAATGTATAATTTCTGACTATTTAACCTCTCCTGGCTCTTTCTATAAAATCAGTCTTTTTAAACTTTTATAATGTAACTAAGAGGGGTCGAAACATTTGATTTCATCCTGACCATTGCTGTCCTCTGAGATATAAATAGTTTTTGGCTTGTTTCCATGCCACCCAAGGGTCAGAGGTCGCCGAGAGGAAGTCAGTTGACACCCAGGGATTGGAACGAGGACTTGAGCTGGACAGACCGCAGCTTTCCTGTGCACATCTAGTGCTCTGACCAAAGCTGAAGCCTCAGGCCATAATGACAGGCCTCCCTGCCAAATATCTCAGCGAGGCTCGCTATTTGCTGTGTCTCTGCATCCCACATACAACTTTTTGAAGCAAACAGCCAGTCAGAGCGCAGACAAAGACTGCAATCACATGTCTGAAGTCTGTATATCTGACATTTCTGATCAGTGACATTCAACAGTTTATTCAATCCCTCAGCAGATGTGTAGTACTGCTGGGCCTTACTCTTAATATTCATTAGCATGCTGATATCTTTTTATTTTAGCCTATTTGAACCTTTTTATGCTGTCCTTACTACAATAAACCTGCCTTGCTATACAATGCATGAGCAAGCAGCAGCCTCCAGGGCTTAGTGCCAGCTGCAGTTCCTCGAATGGCCACTTAAAGCTGGCTCTAAAAGCAACTTAGTCCCCCTAGATCCCCACATTAACACGTCCAGCATTACAGCAGAAGTAAACAGCCTGGTACAAAAAGCAATTTTGGTCTCTACAGCTGATTTCCCCATTCATGACAACTGTACAAGAGGTGATGTTTTGATGACCTAACCATATAACTTATATGTAGGCTTAAGTTACCTTTAGTGCCCGTTGGGTGCTGTGACAGGACAGTCCATGGCCCAGAGATGTTTGCATGGCCTGCAGGCAAAATCTTCATCTAAATTACAGTTGTTGTGGCTTAGATGCTAACATAGAATATGACCATTTTAAAATGAAACAGGACACATTTTCAGTCACCTAGTAACAGCTTAAACCATTTCAAAACAGACCATAAGTGTGAATGCAATGTGAAACTAGCAGTAGCTAGTGGCTCAGGTGGTAGAGCGGGTTGTCCTCTAATCGCAAGGTTCGATGCCCCGTCCCTCCACAGTCAAAGTGTCCTTGGGCAAGACACTGAACCTGAAGTTGCTCCCAATGGCAGGCAGGCACCTTGCACGGCAGCTCTGTCGCCATTGGTGTATGAATATGATCTACTCCCTGATGTACGTCGCTGTGGATAAAAGTGTCTGCTAAATGAAATTGTAAATGAAAATGTGACATTTATTATTCAGAAAGCCACAGTTCCATGTTCATTTAAACATGGTATTCACATGTGGGTTCTTGAAAAGAAGGAATAAACCACATTTTGTTCTTAGAATTTTATGGGAGGTGTTTTCTCTTTTTTTTTGTTGTTTTCTTTTTTGTTTTTTTCTATCCGAGTGATGTCGGTTTGGAGTGAAACTATTTTTCCTTTCTTTGTGTTCTAGCCAGTTCCTTCTTGTAGGTTTGGAATTAATTTTCCTGCTGCACTTAGTGACAGCAGATCATTTTTCAAAGCAGACTGTCCTGCAGCATTACGCGAAATGTATGGCTGAATGGCTCTCAGTTTGAGCTGAAATCACTTCCATGTGAAGTCTGGCAGAGAGCAGAGCAGACATGATCTGACCAGAGGAATGTGACTATTCTCTTTGTAGGTTTTTTTTTGTTGGAACTAAAACTTTCTGATCATAGTTGATGCTGGCTGGAGAACAAGGTGCAGCAGATTATTATCCTGTTACATCTGCCTGTGGATACCATCACAGATCGAAGCAGACATGGGCTTTGCACCTCTGGAGAGATTTAAGCTTTAATTCTGAGTTCATTCAAGCATTAAACTATCTGAGCCTTAAAAGAGTGGCTGGATGTTTCGGCAAGTTCTCAGCGTTTGTCTGAGTTACCACAGGCAGCGAGATTTTAGGTTACTGATAATATTGATTCATATGGGCATTAATGAAGTTGCCATTCATATGAAAGTTAGGAAAATAGTGCTTAGTTTTACCTCTACTTGAATAATTCAGGCAAATCTTGTACCCTTTGCTCTGCTGCATTGTCTGATAGCTTTAGTCATTTTTCAGATCAGGATTTTCACGTCCAGTGAAAACAATCCAATCCAAATCCAAATGTGGTGACTCTATATTAGCGTTTTGAGATTTTTGGATTTTTTTTTTTGTGGAAGAGCATTATGGGTTGAGACTATTTCTTCAGACATATACACTATTTTAAAACTCGTCTTGGATTAGCAGCAAAATACATCGTCACAAGGCTGAAGTCAGGACTAAAAACAAAAATTG